CGAAGACATGCGTGCATTTGTCCAGTTCGGTCGGTATGAACACTTGCTGTGGCGTTTGACGTCGAGGCAGTGTCGGGCGCAATGATGTGAAAAGGTCTCGAAGGTCTTGAACATAGCTAGGGAGGTCCGGTAGTGGAGTGGGCAGATGAGTAAGAAATTCGCCCGGGAGTCGGAGCGTTGTGCCGTATACAAGTTCGGCGGCCGTACATCCGACGTCTTCCTTAAAAGTGGATCGGATGCCTAAGAGCACCAAGGGTAGATGGTTGACCCAGTTGCTCCTGTCCTCTCTAGCGATGAGTGAGGCCTTCAATTGCCGATGTAGTCGCTTGACCATGCCATTGGCAGACGGATGGTAGGCGGTCGTGTGTATATGGCGCGCTCCCAGCATTTTAGCGAGTGATGCGAATAATCTGCTTTGGAACTGCCTGCCACAATCTGTGGTGATGATGGATGGGCAGCCGTAGCGTGCAATCCAGCTGGTGACGAATGCTTGTGCGACGGTTTCCGCGGTGATGTCGGGTATTGGTGGGGCTTCTGGCCATCTAGTAAAACGATCCACGCATGTATATATCGGAGCCCCTGGGATGGCGGGAGGGGCCCGACTATATCTACATGCACGTGGTCGAAGCGGGCGTCTGGTGGTCGGAAAGGATGCAGCGGGCTCTTGGTATGTCGCTGCACCTTGGCTCGTTGGCAAGGAGCACAGGTCCGCGTCCAGAGGGTAATGTCCTTGTTCATTTGGGGCCTCACATATCGTGCGGAAATGAGCCGACGGGTCGCTCGAGTACCGGGATGGCTGATGTCATGGAGCGAGTGGAAGATAGCACGCCGAAAATCGGGGGGAATGTATGGCCGTGGTGTCCCCGTTGAGGTGTCGCATATTACGTCACAGTTTGAGAGCGGCAGCGGAACTGGCCGAAGTCGTAACGATGTAGAAGAGGCTTCCATTGTCTGCAATTAGGCGTCATCTTGTTGAGCCTTCGCCAGTCTGGAGAAATCCAAGTCAGGGGGCGCAGTGAGCGTCTCGATACGCGAAAGAGCATCGGCCGCCTCGTTATTCGCTCCAGGCACGTGACGCAGATCTGTTGTGTACTCGGAGATGTATGCGAGATGACGAATTTCGCGGTCCGAGTACGAGGTCCGATTAGCATCAAAAGCGAAGATGAGGGGCTTGTGATCGGTCAGGACGTGGAAAATCCGGCCTTCCAGGAAGTGCCGGTAGTGTCTGACCGCTGCGTAGATGGCAAAAAGCTCACGACCGAACGTGCTATAGCGCGTCTCTGCTGGCTTCAACTTCTGAGAGAAGAAACCGAGTGGAAACCAACCCGTCTGGTCGTACTGTTGAAGTACAGCTCCAACTGCGACATCGGATGCGTCAACCATGAGCCTAGTCGGCGCGCATGTGGTCGCGGATAAGCAAGGAGTGTTGTTTCCACGAGGGCCTGCTTCGCTCTGGCGAATGCATTTAGTGCACTTGAGTTCCAGTCGATGGGTGCCGTGGGGCTCTTAGGTGATCGCAGCAGGTCTGTGAGTGGCTTGAGAATTTGGGCGCAGTTGTTCATGAATCGCCGGTGGAAATTTACAAGACCCAAAAATTCTCGTAGCTTGCGAATAGAAGTTGGTTGGGGAAAATCCTTGATGATCTGGACTTTAGACGGCAACGGATGAATACCTTGAGGCGTTACTCTATGTCCCAGGAACTCTAGATCGGATGTTCCGAAAACGCACTTCGTTGCGTTGACGACAAGGCCGTATCTGCGCAGTTGCTCGAAAAGCAAGCGAAGGTGTTGTTTATGCTCTTCGGGTGACTTGCTAGCGATGAGCAGGTCGTCGACGTACGCAAACACAAAGGGAAGCCCGCGTGTCACCTCGTGTATGAATCTTTGAAATGTCTGTGCTGCGTTCCTTAGTCCGAAGGGCATTCTAACGTATTCGAATAACCCAAACGGCGTGGTTATTGCTGTCTTGGGGATGTCGGATGCCTCGATCGGTATATGATGATAAGCTTTTACTAAATCGACTTTACTGTAAATAGATGTTCCAGCGAGTTGTTCCGCGAAGTCGTGAAGGTGGGGCAAAGGATAACGGTCTGGCAACGTGCTTACATTCAGGGCACGGTAGTCCCCGCACGGCCTCCAGACCCCTGGCTCCTTTTTGGGCACCATGTGCAGAGGAGATGCCCAGCAGCTGTTTGAAGGCCGGATAATCCCAAGTTCGAGCATGTGCTCGAATTCCCAGCGAGCTGTTTTGAGCCGTTCACCGGAAAGGCGGCGAGGTCGTGCGTAGACAGCCGGACCAGAGGTAACGATGGTATGAGTCACTCCGTGCTTTACCGGTTGCGCCATATTTGAGGGTCTTGTGACTTCGGGAAACTCGTTTAAGATAGCTGCATATCCCGTTGATGGTGTGATGTGACGTATGCCAATGGATGAGGTCGTTGTAAATGTCCCATGCACAGTCAGATGCGTCGTGCCGTCGAAAAGACGACGGTGGCGCATGCTCACGTTCAGGTTGAAGTAAGCCAAGAAGTGCGATCCTAAGATGGGACACTTAACTTCAGCGATGATAAAGATCCACCTGAAGGTGCGGCGCAGTCCCAAGTCGAGGGTCACGGATCGCAAACCATAAGTTGCTATGGGAGTTCCATTTGCTGCGAATAAGCGTACGCCACAGTTCAGGTTTTTTCTATCTGCTGTTGTAGGTGGGACGACGGACAACTCTGCGCCGGTGTCGACAAGAAGCCGGTTACCTGTGAACCGATCAGCAACGAAGAAAAGACGGCTTGCTGGTCGGCCGGCGTCACCTACCGCCTCTAGTGACCGGCCGGGGTGTTTTCCTGCCAGGTACAAGGACGGTGGCATTTGACTGCGCGGTGTCCGTATTTCCGGTGGTACCAGCAGGTACCTTGACCTCGTGGCGGCGATGGCGTTCGTGCCCGAGATGAATTCCGATGGTTGGGAGGATTGCGGCCCGAAGGACGGCGTGCGTCACCGGAAGGTGGTTGCAGGGCGGCAACGGACGCCGTGAGTTGGTCAACTTTTAGCTGCAGATCCTACAAAGCAGTGGACGAGGGAGGGGGCTCTACCAGCGTGGAGATGGTAGGTGCCGCGTACTCAGCTACACGATCAGCCATCTCCGCCAGACGGTCTAAGGGCATGTCGGTTGCTGAGGCAAGAACCATCCGGATGCCCTGGGGTAAGCGTTGCAAGAAGAGTTCGCGCAAGATGGGGTTCTCCACGTGGGGGACCTGTTCGCCCAGCAGTTGGCGCATTCGGTGCAGCAATTGTGACGGGCGGTGGTCTCGGAGCTCCTCTGTAGTGAGAAGGCGTTGCAGGCGGCTGCTTGTGGACTCGGTTTTTCTCCGTAGAATGGTGGCCTTCAGATGATCGTAGGCATCTGCCGGTGGTGTTGCCGCTAGCACGTCGTCGAACTCGTCAGCTATCTCCGGTGGCAAGGCGGATACTATGTAATAGTATCTGGACAGTTGTGCATTTATTTTCTTCAGGTGAAATTGAGCTTCGACCTGAGCGAACCATGCCCTAGGATTCTTTGCCCAAAATGGTGGAAGACGAACCTGCCGTGTAGATACTGCCGTCTCATCTTCGGAAGGGCTTCGCTCCATGTTTTGAACAGGACAGGACAGGTCCAGGACAGGAAGTGGACGTTCGAATGTGGTAGAGGGCTACCGGTCAGCCGATGCGTTGGCTGATGCCTCAGCAATGAAGTCCACCTTCGGTGTCCGTCTCCGGGTCACCACTTGAAGTGGCCAAATTGGCCCCTTCGTTTATTTACACGCCTGGACGGAGTAGTAGCTGGTCCGAGAGCTTTGCCGTTGAAAAAAGGAGCCGGCTGGTATCGATGTTCCCTCTCGGGCTGGCCGGGTTCGAGTGCCGAGTGCCCACGCGGCGCGCGCTGCTAACGTGGCTCTTGTCACGAGCCACATTGTTATTGTCGTCGCCGCTTAGCCGCAATAGTGTCATGCATTGTTTTTGTTAGGTCGGAAACTAGTCGAGGTTTTCTTACAGCGAGGTGCCAATGGGCTGACCGTTACACACCATCATTGGAACGACCTCATTGACGTCGGGCGGACAGTGGCACTTCAGACTGCTTACCTTTCACAGCTTCCATTTAAGCATACCTGCGTGGAAGGGAAAACACAGACGAAGAGTTGAGGTTACGTACGTATCTGGCATCACCGACTCACGTCGAAGCAGTTCTTTTTCACGCGTATGAGCTCAATGTACTATTTTAAAGTGCGCTAAAGGTGCGATGTTCTTGTCTTATCACATGCTTTAAAATGTAGCAATGAGGGAGTACGTGTGTCTGGCTGCCGAGGAAGAAGAAACTATTTAATTAAGGTGACTAGACGCGTCAACTTCAAACTTGAACTAAACTGCCTTTTCCTACAAAACATATCTGTCACCGTAAAACAATATATATATATATATATATATATATAATTTTTTTTGCGGAATGCTTTACGCTTTTTCATTAACCATGAAATAGTGCAAAATATATTTGTTTTCCTCTTTACATCTTGCTTATTAAAGATTCCCCTCCAAATTTTTTGCATCCTTCGTCTAATCAATGTTCGAGGTATCCTTCGTTGTACACCCTTACAAAAATGATCAATGAGTTTCAATTGAGTTTCTATTCAGTTGAATGACTTTCAATTGAAACTCGTTTCATATTTTTGTAAGGGCACTCTAAAAAACCTGTCACTGGGAGCCAATCGCTGCAATCTACAGAGGAAACTCGGCTCGTATGACAAGACTGGAAATTAGTTAGTCCTAAGAAGAAAAAACCGTTTGCGGTGTGGCATTATGCTTGACGTTTCGCCATGTATAGCAAGGGTGGCCAAGCTGCGGCTCCCTCCCCTAGCACCCCCCCCCCCCCCCTCCAACTTTCCCGCATTTTAGAACGAAAGACAGGTTGCGGTCTGGCAGTTTTTGTGTTACTGCTATCTTACGTACAGTTAGACTGCTTTGGAACCGGATAGATTAAAGCTGTACACAAAATGAGTTTTTAATGTAAAAGCGTTGTAACTCACCCCAACAGTGTTATACGTTTCAAAGAAAGAACGGCAAGTCATTCCGTCCAGACCAAAATAGGTCCATGCATTTTGCTTTGCTCCGTTTTTCCACGTACAACAATCCACCGTGCAGGTAGAGGGCAGGACATTATAGTCCTACAAAAAGCAGAGTCACTAGTGTTCATATAAAGGGGGCTCTCGAAACGTTAGATTTAATACGCATACTAGCGAGAATATGTCAAAAAATATTCTTCCTAATTGAATATTCTCCCTGATTGAGTCTCCAGACAGCATGAATAATGATTATTCTGTCGTCTGTAGGTTTATACGGCCGGAAGTTAGTCATCCTCCGTGGGCGCCTGGTGTCTTAGCTGTTGATGAGCAACCGAAATTTGGATTCCTCAAATTTAGGCCGCAGAAGCGTTGAACGGGACTCCGAACTCAAAAATGTCACTCACACTCTCAAGAAAAAAGGGTGTAAAAGGGTGTGTCGGTACATCCTCTGTTCCATACAATACACCCTAAAACTTCATTTCGACTTACAACGCTTTATATTCGAACAGACGGCTCCAAATTTTACGAGAGGCTTGATAACGGTGCGATGCAACTTTTTAAATAGCTGAAGTACGTATCAAAGACCACATGAAGAAACCACTGAGTTTTTGCAGTCGGGCCAAGAAAACCCCGATTATGTTTTTTTGTCGTCAGTATAACGTACATTAGCTATTTGAATAAGTTGTACCACACGGCTATCCAGCCCCTCGTAAAATTTCGGGCCGTCCGTTCGACTGTAGGGCGCTGTACGTCGAATTGAAGTTTGGGGGTGTATTACATGGGACAAAGGGTGTAACGATACACCCTTTTACACCCTTTTTTCTTGAGAGTGCATACACCGATATCTCAAACAGATAGCCGTACTTTTTGAAAAAAACATGGCGCGATCAAGCAAGGTCTATGACGTAATGGTCCTCGTGGAACATTTGACGATGAGGGGAAGCGGCCTCGGTCCTCTCCTCCTTGCTTCGGTTCCCCAGCGTGGCACCAGCTCAACGGGACGTAGCGAGGAGGAGAGGGAATGAGAATCGTGACGTGTCACGTCTCGTCGGCCTCGTCGGCCATGTAAAATTACGCACTTATTTTCCAAAAATACGGCGATCCGTTAGAGATATCGCTGTATGAGTGATGTTCTGGGGTTTTGCGGCGTCCCACCTATCCGTCCAGTCTTGTTTTGTAAGCCCAAAATGTCGGTTCAGTATCCCTGTATACCCGTGTCCCACTAGAGCGACATACAGAAACAAAAGGCAAAGACAAGCCTCAACCCAGAGTCTTTCGCGATTTGAGACGCTTTGTAGAGTACGTAGGCTATGCTCCAACACGAGCATCATGCACGCGAGGGTATCTTTGGCAGGCTTGCAATCGCTCGTGCTTACTTCGCGAGCACCGAACGACTAAACGCCTGCCAAAGGTACCATCACGAGCATGCTGCATGGGTTTGAGGCTTGTCGCTGTCTTTTGTCTCTGTCTGTCGCTCTAGTGGGACGCGGGCATTAACGCGCATCACGCCGTAGCGACATACACGACCGCGCGCCTGTATGATGCTCATCCAGATTGAAACGGGCAGGGGTTGGGCTTCAGCCCAGAATCCCTGGGTTCTTCAGCACGAGTTGGCGCTCCACGCACTCTTAGCTGCGGTGCGCTAACACGCTCAACCCCCAATCGCACTCTTTTTTTTTTTTCCAAAGACACGGTAAATTATTTTTGGGGACACCCAGTACTTAAACTTAATCGTAATTGCGAGGAACTTCCCTGGCCCCTTGCCGGGTCCAACGAACTACGTTGACAGTCGAGTTGCTCAACCCTCTGCTGCATATACTGGCCAACACGCGATTGACTGAATCGCGATTTTCGTCCGCGGACCGTGTACCACCTCACGATTACGACAGCAATTCCTGCGATCCGCTTCTCGTCCGTGGAGGCGCGGACTGAAATTGCCGAGCGCCTCTCCAATTGGGTTGCGTCTCAAAACAACAAATATCAATGTAAAGGTAAAAAGGCAGCGTTTGTTTTTTGTTTTTTTTTTGGCTTGTTTGGCTATATTTTCTTTCTTGTAATGGGGGCGGGGGGGGGGGGGGGGGGGATTGGATCCATTTCCCAGATCGTAAAGACATGACAATCGTTTTTAGGGAGTCTTAGTAGATCGTATTTCCACTAAGATAACGATACGCGATAGCAATACGGTGCGTACGGAAAGGCTCAGGAGAAGTATCTGGTATCGTTATCGGAGTCAATTGCAGTTCCCACATTTCTAATCAGCCATGCATGTTGGTCTTGACAGAATTTGTGTATCGACAAATTTAACAAGTAGCGTTAAAGACTACCAGGTCAAACCCTATGTTTGTACTGATCGTTGTTTAGTAACAGTAACGCTTGACAAAACCAGGGGAAAAGTAATTTTAATGGGCAACTCTGGAAGCCTAATTCAAAACTGTTCAAGGACGAACCTCTTGCGGCGAGCGTGGACGAGCAACTTGCAATTACGGTGAAGAAAAAAAAAAACTCTCACTCTTGGAAAATGGGGAACATTTAAAGGAGGAAGTAAAGCAACTAGCAATCGAACGATCAAGCATTCTAAGTTTCACGCACGCATCGAGGAGAGGCAGCATTTTAGAGTGTTGCTCCGACGGGGGAGGTCAAGTGGCTTTACTCCAGATTGACTTGGAGAAGGCTTTTGACAGCGTTACGCATGCGGTGCTTTGGGAAGTTTTAAAACACGTTGGAATATGAGCCGTTATCTACGACGGATCCCAGATGACTTCTAAAGATTGTTGAACAAAAATAATAATAAATGGCAATATTTCAGTAAACATACAAGTACTGCATTCCGTTCATCAAGGGTGGCCGTTATCCCCGTTGGTATTTGATATTTATTTGAAAGCCTATTATGTGAGTATCGCCTCAACAGCCTGCGAGGTTTCGGTGTCGGCTCAATAGAGATCAAAGTCTTAGCATATGCCGATGCGGTGGCTAATCTTTATCGCGACAAGAGAAGTGTTACCGAAGCGGTTGTGTTGACCAATATACTTTATGACATAACAGGCGCAGCGGTAAGCTGGGAAGAATGTATTGGCTTCTGGTACGAATCATGGGCAACCATGCCTACAGAGGATGAAGGCGTCAAATGAAACGAAACATCTTGTAATTATCTCGGCGGGCAACTTGAACAGTTTTGTAGGAGTACGACGTATTGGACGGCAGTTTCTAATGAACTGAAATCACGTGTGTCAAGGAGGCCTAACCGTTACTCGTCAATTTTTGCGAGAGCTACTGTTTGCAACATTTTTCTTATTACCAAAATTATGTACGTATTACAGGTCCAGCGCTGTGCACAAGATTCATAGAATTTGTGCGTTGTTTATTTGCAAGTGCGGATGGAAACCAATGAAACGTGACAATTTATTTCGACTTATCCTACAGAGAGGCCTGCCGCATTTGTTTATCCGTCATCTTATATCGTTTTTTTTTTTTTTTTTCGTTTTTTTGCGTGACAAGTAACAATTATTTGTACGCGCACTGATACAAACCGAACTATCTGGACTTTTGCCATCGTTTCTGGTGTCTTCCCAGAAACCGGGTATTATGATAACTGTCGGGTTCCTAAAATAGTTGTTGTTGATTCGCATAATTATTTGTCCGTCCGATTTTCTTCTGAGTATTTATCTGGCATTCCAAGAATGGAGCTTACTCGAGCTCTTTTGGACCAACTTTTCCCAACACCTCCGTATCGTTCACTCTTCTATAATGGTCGAGGTCAAAATGTGCTTTCTAGAGTAAACAATGTGTGAATTCCACCAGCTGAAAAATCTTTCTTTTGTTAACTGCATACTGAAACATTACCCGTTAAGGTATGTCTCCAGAGGAAGGGAATATTCATGCCGAGGACTGTAAACTGTTTTCTTTCTAAACAATCCGAAAAAAAAATAGCATATTCTCATTAATTGCTGGGACGCCTTTCCTTTTTTCGGATATCCTAGAACGGACGAGGAAAAACACATAGAACTAAGGCTGAGCGCCATTCCGTGTTGTATGCATCTCTTCCTCGTCCATGTTTTTTTTTTATTTTTTGCGTTTTTAAAGTAATTACCCCTGTACACTCAGGAACTTAGTTGCTCGTTTACAGTGTTAGGATGCAAACGACGTGGAAATACTTACCGGATAACAATAACTCAAACTCGGATGGAGGGATGAGCAGAACTCATTCGGCGACAGGTCTTCACCCATGTATTTTCTGCTTCCGTTAACTGACTGCCGCGCGTATTTGAGGCTGAGGCAGGTGTCGTTCATGCTGCACAGAGTCAAGATATAATGTAAAAAAAAAAAAATATTTTGGCTGACTGCGGTGTATGATGCATATGTGTGCGCTACGTTGAGCATTTCTGACAGTTTCACTCGTTATTGTGTTAGATACCTGCGACCTTGGATTATATGTTTGGAGTTTGCTGCTCTCGTTGTGAATGCTTATAGTTCCCTCCTGAAATACGAAGCAACGGACGTTCGGCCTGTTCTTGCCGGTTTCGAGCGTACAATCGCTGTGATGTTTCAACCGATAAAACTAAAACTCTTGCAATTTTTGCAGTACAGAGCGGTTTCACGTTTGCACTTGTATGCAACATGGGCCGAGTGTGATGTTATAATAAACGTGTGGATAATATAAAACAGGTCACTTCCCTACTGAAAAAAGAATCTATGAATCTATATAAGAACTGATAGGAAATATTCAAAAACTGATATGCAACATATGAAACTGATATGAATTATCCAAAAACCGATATATGACATATCAAACTGATATGAACTACCAAAAAACTTAGATGCGCCATATGAGAACTGATATGCAACATATGCCAACTGATATGCAGCATACAAGTTCATATGCGATTTATATGAAAACTTATACGACTTTCAACAGAATTTGCAATGTGTCCAATAAACATATCAGAAATATGTTCATATAATCTTTTTTTAGTATATGACGTGCCGCGCGCGCAAGCAAACACGTGACTTGAAGCCGCAGTGGAGCGGTTTGATTTATTGGCTTTCAAATAACTACGGCATGAGCGTTTACTTTTTAGTAAGAAATTCATCCCCTGAGCCCTTGTAAATACTTTCAGTGGTATGACATTACTGAAAATAAATAAATATGTTGGGAATATTATTTATTGCTTAGGAGGTCACCGAGAAAATCCGTACCCTCAAAACGACCGGTATAAAAGGCGGAAACGCAGAGCTAAGAAGTAGTTATCGAGTGTGCTGTTGTATTCATGATTGTTGTGCCGTGTATGTGGATTGCTCAATGTATATGCTCAGCTGATGTATCTACATGGTGCGTAAGAAAATAAAAATATTGTACCACATGAAGTGGGCGGTACCTAGCGCCACTAGCCTAGCTGAAACTGATATGAAATAACAAATTCTGATATGAAAACGGTGTCCAATAAACATATCAGATATAAATTCATATAATATTTTTTCTTTAGGGTTGGGGCTGCTCTTTTCTGTTTTCCGTTTTACAAGTTAATTTTAGAGATTTTTCAGTCTACTGCGTGCGAATTAAACTTGTTGTAAACGTGTTCGGTGGCAACAAGACGTCGTTAAAAAAGTTTCCGCTTGTGTTTGACCCCAGCAGTGCCGCCAATTAATCTTTCAAGTATGTTTGCGGCGTGGAAACGCCTAATATACTGTTGACATTGCGTAATCGGGTGTTTTATATCGAATTATGTCGCAATCATGTTTTGTAGATTGATTTGACTTTTACAGAGCGGTTTGAAGTTCGCAATTGTGAGGGGTAAGCTTTGTGAGATGTGATACTAAACACGTGGAGTATTCAAAACAGACTACTTCTGTTTGTTTTTCATTATTATTTTACTTTTCATAAAGTAATTTGAGCAACTTTTTAATCTACTACTTGCAAACAAGAATTGCTCTTAGTGATTTTGGTGGCATTCAAAGACTTGTCGCGCCCGTGTTTGGCCCTAACGGCCCTGACGCATTGAGGAAACACGGCAGCGACAGAAGCACATGTTCATCAATAGTTGGTCAACTTCGTCCTCGGTCGCCCTTTTCCCCGACAAACCTGTCACATCGCGGGAGCGTCAGCACAACACAGGCGACATCGACAATGTTGACTCGGTGGGACAGTTTCGGCAACAAAGACAGCAGCAACTTGTGTTGGACGAGGCGTGTTGGCCGGTTCGGTGAATGAGCGCATTTTGTGCTGTAGACACGATAACACAGATAGACTCGATGGCAGAGTTGCCTATCAATAACAAACAATTTCTTTTAAATCTTTTTTGAACAAAGGCATAGTAAACGTTATTTAACAATAATTAAGGCACTTGCAGCTAAAATGATTTGATGAATGTCTTTACCGCGTAATTACGGAAAGCTATTTTCAAAATGCTCACAGCTACGGTCGTAAACGTTGAAGCGGTTGTTAAAATTAAAACTGCCAAAATACCAGCTCACATTACTGCTAGTGAACTAGATTGACACGTCGAATCACCCAATAATAAAATGTAAAAAAAAGAACAATCCACGAAGGCAAGCGATTCAAAATACGAAGCATGAAAACGACCGCTCTGAACATGACAGTTGAAACTTAGAGCTTTAAAACAGCCGCTGCCGGACACGTGAATTGTTTAAAAACTCCCCAGGACGTTTTGGCGATTGCAGCGGTCACATAGCAGGGCGATAAAGGCTAATAGATAGCGTTGAAAATGTGCATTCCACCGATCATTATGAAGACCGATCGTGTCGGTGTCGCAGGCAGTTCAGCTCCCCACCGCGCTGCAAAAGGTACTTTGGGATACTAACTAGCTGACTCCATTTTACATAAGAAATAGAAATTGCAAGAAAAATTGAACCGGACAGAAACACTTCATACGGTGGCTAAATCACGAACATATAGCAGCGATATCATCATCCTCGGGTAGGACTAGCTGCTTTGTCAGCGAATGAAGAGCATTTTGATAGAATAAAGAGTTGAAAATACTCCACCTGTGAAGATTTCTAATCACGGACACTTGTTAATGTCGTTCCGTGGTAATTTAATTCCTACACTTCGACCGCACTAGAACTTTGTAGAGTCAGATTTCCCGCGTCGCTGCGGAGTTTTTTAGGTGTCGGTCCCGCTGTCAGCGCGACGTGCCAGGGTGTTCTGCGGTTGTCGGCCAACAAATAGGCGAACATGGTTGCCGAGCGACAAAAACACGTTTCCCGACAGTTGCTGTTGCCTGAAAGGGACAGGGTCACTGAAAACATGTTTCCCTCGTGATGATGGAGAGAGTTGTCGACTGCTTCCTCAATGAAACGGCACCTTAAATGGAGTGCCTACTTGTCATTCGATCGTAATTTCGGTGTCGAAGCTGCAAATACATTGGCGTTAACTACCCGGAGTTTTCTCTATTAAATTGCGCCTTTCGACTGCGACGATGGATTAACCCTAATCTATCCCCGGAGCCGAAGGGCCGGATTCGATCTGGAGCCCTGGAAGCAAGTTAACCCGGATTGAAAATGCCAGATCGACACTGGATCCAAAAGTGGGCAAGAAGAAACTTCCAGTCTGAAAATCAAAAAACTCAGTCAGATTCAACCTGACATTTTTTTTTCAGGCCCAAATTCAGATCCGGACTGGATCCGACATTTTTCATTCTGGTTTCCATGTTACATTTTTCTATTGGACAAGTTATGCATAATATTTTATCAATTTACCGTTCCTTCAGAGTTTCCTTGATCATCTTTCTTGAACAATTGGAAAATGCGTAAGGCGTGTAAATTTCTCCGGTTCCCATAAAATACCCGCCGTCTTCGGGACATTCAGAAGCTTCCGCTCTTCCGTCATACTCCGCACCTAACCTGCGAGACGAGGACACGTTTGAGTTATTTCTTAGCTGTAGCCATCCGCCATAAATACGCATAATAGGGAAACGGTCCATCAAACAATTTGCTAGCCGCCAACTCAGTTCCGCCCCGCGCAAAAATAAAAACAAAAACAAAATAACTTTGAAAATAATTACTCGTCCTTTGTTTTAGTTAGCAATTTACACAACTGCTGTAGCTGTTATATGAACTCTGTTCATACTGCTTTTAACAACTAAACTATGTATTTTAGTGGTCTTTACGTGTCTGCATATACCGGGTGTCTCTACAAAGGTATTCAAACCTCTTTAAAAATAGGGTGTTTGAGAAAAAAAATTCACTCTTCGGGAACAAATTGCCAGCCACGGCCGACGTCAGGAATTGCAATACAAAACATACTAATTGGCAAACCAATGAGATAAAATTGACTAATACACTGTTTATTTCTGAAAATGAACACGTGGTTCCAAGTGCGAACTTGCTGAGCGTCATCGAAAACTCTAATATCGGTCCATTTTATGACGACTTGAAGCACGTGTGAAGCGCAAGGGCGAGCTGAACTTACCGCGCACAGCCAGCAGGCGCAAGGACCACAATGCGAAAACGCGAATAAGAATATAATTCGAATTTTGTTCCCACATACGTTCTGCAGCGGTCTGAGATGTAAACACAGGAGCGTGAAGACCCATTCACACGGGGTGCGTTCGTTTACGTCTTCTTACGTTACGTTATGAGTAGGGTTCTGTGTTTTCGGTAGGTACCGATAAACTCCGATAAATACGACCGAATTGATTTTCTCTGAATAGAAAGGAACCGAGAAACCCCGAATGGACTTCTTCCAAAACCGACGCGCCCCATCGCGGTGAAATACCACGCAGTGCACTCTGGGAACTAGTTGGCCACTCAGTTTCGGTTTCGACTGAGCAGTTTCATCTCATGCTATCACGCCGCGACCGAACGCGCTGCTTGCGTTTTCGATTATCTGACTTTTCACGAACGTACAATACACTCATTCACGAGCGATACAAAACGAAGACCGGGGCACTTTCCTTGGTTCCCGAAACACCGGATATTGTGCGTGCGTATGCGAACGTAGTAAGTCGTGGCTTAGTCACCTCACCCCACGAGTGCATCTTTGAGCTCAATGTCAGTAATCCCGTCTAGTACCAGTGAACTACAACTGAAATTTGTTCGTCTGGAGCCTTACACGCATTTTGTTTGCCAAACGTCCGCTTCTTGTTACTTCACTGGGCAAAAAGCAAGCCGCATCCTCACAGGGTATCAAAGTTGAGGCCAGCGTTTACGCATGAACTTTTAAGGAAACGCAATAAATTCGACCTCACTACTGCACAAAAGTTACTATGATGTCTTCCTCGTGTCATCATATATCTCCCACTCAAATTTTATGCTGATAGAAGGTTAACTTTTCGGAAACGCTGAGATCGGCTAGCTACGACGGAGGCCCTAACAAGCGTCCCCTACTCCTCGCTTAGCCTTTTTGGACGAGCTTTTACTGACGCCCGAGATCTGTGCCGGGAACGGTGTCTGAAATTATCTTTGCATACTCAGTCAGAGAAAGCAAACACATAACCAATATCATGGCCATTACCAACCGTCAAATGCGCTTTGAATTCGTTCGAGCACTTGTCTGAAGAATGTCGCACCGTGCGCCGGACGGGCATAAACCCCAATGCGGTGCGCATAGCGGTTCATGCCCGTCTGACGCACTTCCGGCGAACGGTGCGACACTCTTCACACAAGTGCTCGACTTTTGCATTCTTAAAACGGTCTGTATGCGCGAATGTGCCTATATGATTTCAGGATAACTTTATGCGCATACGCGATGTTGAATATTAGTGAAATGCAAGCGGGTGCGGACTTCACTTCGTGCAGTGCTGCGTGTCAGTACAGATAAGAGATAAGAAGTGTGTTCAAATTGAGCTTTTCAATGGCACCTCCGAGTTTTACCTCGCATAATCAGGCACATTAAGAAAAACAGTAATTGCAAAAAGAAATATTTCGTCTATGGACGCACGAAGCAAACAACCTTCCTGATCAACAACACTAATGTAAAGGCGCGAGCTCGATATATGCATACTTATTGTTTGCTACAGCTTGTTGATTCGTACACAAGCAAGATCCCCGAGCACCCGAGTTTCGCAGCGTCGAGACTCCCAGCACTGGCTCGTCCACATACCTCGATTGGAGCGCTAACAGGAAGGCTCAAGTACAAAAATACAACAAGCATGTGTTAAGACAAGCTATACGTCTCGGGCTTGTGCTAAAGCTTCGAGGTCTGGCCATTTAGGCTAGTTTAGAGACCACAAATGACGCTCTCGGGACCAGAAAACAATCTCTTGTCGACGTGTCGATCGAAACCGAAACCATGCCACCCTCCTCCCTGGCCAACTAGTTCCCAGAGTGCAACGCGCGCCGTGTTGCATGCAGGGCTTTATGGAAGTAGTCTATTGGGAGCTGGCCTTGAATAGAGAAATCCCCGGTTTTGGGGGAAAAAATTTCTCCCTGCACTTTTTCAAGTATTTTGGTCACGGGGTAAGTTCTATTAGCGACGTGAGCGATCGAAAGCGTCGCTGTGGTCGGCCCACCACAATTGGCCTAATGCTGACTATGACGTCAGCAAAGGATGTCTCATCGACGGAAGTAAGAGGAATGTAAAACTTCAATTTTGATGGTGTTCGCAGTGTTGCTTTGAGAGCGCTATGATTTCAGGCTTCCACCATGCCCATTACAAACACCATCGAACTTGTTGTTCACAAGGTAATGACGTCACGAAAGGTAACCAAACGAGGGCGCCACCGAAACATCTCGCCGCTAATAGACCTTTGTCCGGAAGTGCTCTTTTTAGCCTCGACCGCAAGGAGCAAAAGCGAACAATAATCTCGAACCCAGACGCTCACGGGGAGGGGGGGCTGCGTCGGCCTGCGCCGCCGGTTCCCGTTGAGGGCTTCTTCGCTGGTGTGCCGACTGCCGTTTCGCCGGCATCGGTCCTGTTTACCGCGGTATGTGAGTATAGTGCTCGTAATGTGAGAGCCGTGTGTCCATACGCCACTTTGCCGTTGTTGGTTTTCATCTAGCCGAGCCAGAAAACATCTCGCGACGAGTTGACCGCGCCGCGAGTGACGAAGAAGAAGCAAATATGGCGACGGTTTGTGCGATGGCTTTGGTGGCTCCGGTGTTGAGTGTCTTCAACGTCCTCGTGAGAAGGTTCCCCTGCCCTTCGAAGTTATTGCAAGCACCACGAAAGATGTGGAATCATCGTCTCAACTACAAATAAGCAGGCCTTCACGAGCAACAACGGTGCCGAGCAGGCACTCGGCACATTTGTGTCAGGCTCACGCAGCCAGCGGCACAGTTGTGTTGGTTGTGTCGTCAGATGTTCAACAACGCCGAGGTATTTTCATTTATCATTTGGAATGGCTTCAAGAGTGGGAAATTAATCTATTTCGTGGATTGTTAACGCCGAGGCGAGTGCCCTCCGTTGCAGTGCCGTCGTCGCGCAAAGTGCAGAGAAAACCGGGTGGCGATGGCGGCGGTGCTCTTTGATCTTGCGCCGTCGGGTTCATGAAGTCCGGAGTAAACGTACGTACGTGCGTCTGCTGGATCGGTGTTTTGGACTTCCTCAAAACTCTTTCTCACGCGCATTTTCCTTGTGAAGCTTAGTAGCTCATTACACCTCATCGTCGACTGCGCTCATTTGACTACGACGGACGAGCCTGCGTGATGTGAATTTCACTGCCTAAGATCCTTGGTGTGCTGTAACGAGGGCTAATAAAATATCACCGCGAACTTCTGAACAAACGAGTCGAAGTTTCGTCTGCTATCATAACTGATCGCCTGTCACAATATTAATCAGTAGCGTTCCTAGACTCCGCCCCCACAGGCACCGTGCTTCGTTGCCCGATAGTAAGTGTCTCCTGATACCTCGTAGAATTCCAGCTCCCACTTCAAGTAAGTACCATCCTTTAGAACTGGCAATTAATAGTTTCGAACCCAGACGCTCGCAGTGTGTGTTTGTGTGTGCGTGTGGGGGGGGGGGGGGGGGGGACGCGTGCTAACATACTCGGAGCCCTCGTTTACGCCGCTTCGCAGCGGCAGACAAGGCGCCACATTACAAAAGAAAGCTAATCCGAGCTGTCTATGTAACTAGACCCATTCGCTAGTCATTCGATGAAACGTCGTGGTCTCGTTTTCATTCGCTAAAACTGCGTTCGATCAAGTGAACGCCTCCCACTTATTTCGGCTCGGCAGAGCCGCGCTGCCGCAGAAAGGCAAGCAGATCGCGAAAATCGGTCTCAAACGTGCCACGAATGTAATGTCGTATACAAGAAGCCAACAATCAAGCATTTGAAAGCTACAAGAAAGCGGTAGCGAAATATTTACTACGCAATGAACCCGGACTGAAACGCGGATGTCAAGGGTCAGCAGACACCGAGAACATCTAAGACAAGAAAGGTTTTCCCTTATTTTCCTTGATCGAGATGGGTTCTCGAATGTTCACGACATCTTGCCTGTTGAAGAACGGGCCGCAGAGGCTTCTGGTGAAGACATCTTTCACGATGTGTCGGTGGATTCGGACAGCCTGCCGCACCCAGCTACCCAAAGCAACGCCGCCAACGCAGCGCCCCCTCCCTGCCTGCCAGTTCTTTCCGCGTGGTGGCGCGAGCGTAGATAAACATGGCGGCGCCCCGGAATTGGCGCGGACACTGGTCTATAGACTCCCTGGCAGAAAAGAGGACGCCGGGGAGGGGGGGGGGGGAGGGGGAGAAGGGGAAAGGGGGAGGGGTGTATTAGGTGTTACGAAATTGCATCTGGAAGGACCCGGGTCCGGAAACAGAATTCAATCCAGAATTTTTCGAATGAATTTAACGATGTTGAACCTTTTGGTGAAGGCCCCGACAAACCCCTTGTCCACAAGTCGCCTCGCCCAACTCTCTGAAGACCCTCACCACCTACACTGTTAGCAAGTCCCGTGTATT